GAGAGAGAGAGAGAGAGAGAGAGAGAGAGAGAGAGAGAGAGAGAGAGAGAGAGAGAGAGAGAGACAGACAGACAAATAGACAGCACACAGCTGGAGGAAGGGATGGGAAAGAAGAGTGGAAAGGTGGTAAGGGTGGAGAACATACAGGTATTGCACCATAGAAGCGGAGGTAATCGACAGGAACAGTCGGAGAAAGCTCAGCATTAAGAAAAAATGCAGGGTGTGCAAGACCTCTAGGGTAGACACGCTTCCCCCGGTAAATCCCATCCACCAACAGCGGCATGTCAGTACCAAGTGTCTGATGGTTACCAACAAGAAGAGCAGGACGGTCATCTGGAAGATTGCTCAATCCGATTGTCACTTCGCCATCCATTGATGTGGACAAGTAAACTGGGCTGTATAACAACCTCTGGATCCTGGCACAAACACACACAGACAACCAAAAAAAAAGGTTCACTATCGTTTCTTTTCAAATTCAACAAGAGTCATATTTAAAAAAAAGAAGGGCCTTATGGTCCTGGCTCCATATCCATTCTGGGGAGCATCAGTTCGGTTCCTTTTCCCCCGGGCCCCGGCAAGTCGTGAGAATACGACAGAGCACGCAAACACACTTCCTATTGTCTGGATGAAGGAACCCTGAACAGCATTGATTACTCCATTGTCATGGAGGATTGACTGCCAGCTTGCCTTCCTTCCAGAAATCCTTTCAGCTTCAGTGTACCACAGCTGTCAGCTCAACTTGTAAATCAAGACTTCTAAACGGAAGGGCGGACAGTTCTAACATTGTCGTTCACTCTTGTGTTATGTGCCCGATTGATTCACAATCCAAAACCGCATTCAAATGTTCCCATACACATCTGCAATGCCAGGCAGACTGGAGAGAGCAGATTCACACCATAGCCAATGAGAGATATTGCAAACCGGAGGCCAGAACCCAACAAGGAGATGAAAGAAAATTGTCTTCAATCAATTATTATTAAATCCCCCAGCTCACCTCCATCAATCGAGTACATGCCCGAGAAACTCAACCACAAACTTGTCTCCAACCTCGATCAACCCTCGACAAGCTTTAACAAATGTTCAAAGTATCACCCCGATCAACCCTCAACAAGCTTCAATGAATGTTCAAAGCATCACCCCAACTTATCCCTCTTGCCCACAACTCACAAACACTGGTCTGGCGCACCACTCCATCAGCCCCCCAATTCCAAAGTGTCTGTCAGCTGTAGCGCTGCTCTGACTTAGGCCAAAGGCCCAATCAGCAGTGCCGGGAACCACCACGAAGAAGAAGATGAACTTCGATGAAGAAGGAGATAGCTGCCTCGACAGGGCAGCAACCAATCAGTATGGCACTTGCAGAAATAGCGATCGTCCTCTAATCCTCCCAACAGCAGCAAAGCGATGAGGAGGAATACCAGCGCCAGGGAGACATCTACCTTTGCGGCCTTCAACGTGTCAGGCAGCTCCAGCTATGGCTGCCTAGCCTTCACGAATCAGCAGAAGCTTCAGCGCTGAGAAGTAGCGCAGCTCCCGTTCCCCACGTCGAATTTCCAGCAGAATGAGAAAAGAACCTGCTCGTAGTCGGCCTCCACCTACTTCAACCCGACACTCTAGACCTACAACACAGCTACTGACTCTGGACTTACCTGACCGCCCAAGCAGCAAACATCTACGGCCTACCTGCATCCGTATCTAGACAGAAGCATAGATGAAAGAGGGACCGAATCTACTAAGCAAGAAAAACGAAAGGCCTACGAGCCTACCAACTTCAGCAATTGCAGAAAAGACAAAACAGCAAGGCCTAATGGTCTAGGACTGCCCAAAAGAGCCCCAACAAATTATGAAAATCAGACTGTTGAGCTTCAGATTGACAATGTGGATCAGTTAGTTAAATGCGAGGTTATAAGCCCGGTAATCATCTTTTCTGTAACCCATGAATTCTGGAAATCTGATTATTTTTTGTCTGGACAGGGTATCAGTTAGACTCCTCGACTGCTGATCTGTGTATTTGCAAGCGTGATACTCCGATTCTTCCCAAGAATAGGGTAGGATCTGACAAGATCTGTATATGGGACTAAGCCTGACCATAGTCAGCAATAACGCTTAAGAAGTAACAGAGTCATGTGTAGGGTAGGTCTATTTGAGTAGAGAGTTCAGTCACAAACAGATTTGACTCTGGCCAATCACGCTGATACATTACTGGGACAAAGCCCAGTGGTCAAAAGGAATTTGCAGCTCTATTGGTAAAATTCAGAACACTGTCACTACAAGTGTGCGACCACAGAGAAACACTGAAAATCTGGTTTCTACCTGAGAGAGCAAAACTTAGGACCATGTAGGAGAATTTGAGGTAAGATCGATAGTATTCTATACTAATCATACTCTCTCTCAAACACAGGTCATCCATCTAATGAGTGCAGTTCAGTGTGAGAACATGAACTTGCTCATTCAATAAATGCAGCACAAAGCATACACAGGGGATTAGTCAGACAAGGATTCACCGAAACCCACAGTGAAATTCTTGTCAGACTGCATTCTGTCCATTAGTGGTGTTTGAGAAATGGGATCAGCCCGAAACTTAGCGGATTCTTCCACAAGCACAGGTGATGCACAGGCAAGTTGGGGTGATCAACGAAGGAATCAGGCTCAATGTAACTACTCAATGAGCACACTTCGTTCAGCTGAACACACCCACCGAACAAAACCTGCTTCTTTCCCAACAAAAGGACACTCACTTCAGCAGAATCCACTGTTGACTAGGTCAGGTTATAACGTAGTGGTTGCCCCAAGAAGGGCAATACTTGACAAAATGTTGCCCAGCACATCTGAGGCAGATACTGGCATCCTTCCTCTTTTGAGCCCGTCTGGGATATGCTAGTCCCTCCATGGGAGAGAGGAAGGATCCATGAGGTTAGCCGGACATTTGGCAAACTTGGGCAGATTCTGCTTCTGAGGTCCACAAGGGCGTTTGCCAGACCCCATAGGAGAGGGGGACCTTGTCTCTGGAGCTGATTTGCACTCTTCATGGCGCTTACCAGTTACTAAACCAAAGTCAAAAAAGCCCTGTCAGGGAAGCCTCCCGCACTTTGACCAGCTGAGGGAGGCAATCCTCTCTGGTCAAATCCTGCGGAGTATTCTGCAGACTCCATTGCGTGCCACCTCCTTTTGCTCTTCTGTTGACTCTGAGAAGGAGAGGTGCTTCCTGCCTGGAAAGTGGACTGGATTTGGAGTTGGCCTCCAGATCCAAGGCTGCTCTGCCAAAGGCCTTCCAATCCTTATGACCTACAGAAAATAGGGGCCTGTACATAAGTTATCAGGGTAGCCTGGACAAACAATTGCAATTTGTCCTGATCTGACATGGATAACCCAGGTGTAGAGGTTACCCTTTCCCAAAGGGATCCCTGCCACTCTGACTGGCGTATCCTCACAAACTCTCCAATAGCATTCTTGGCTCTCTCTAGATCGGTGAACGTCTCCTCTAGGCCTTTAAATATATGGTTCAATCCTACTGTAACAGCCCAGTCAGCCAGCTGTTTCTGGTCTTTATTGGCCTCAGAAGTAGCCCACTAAAGTGCAAGCCCTCCCAAACAGGCCATAGTGGACTGCGCGTTGGGCAAGCGAGTTACTTGAGGTACCATCTCATTGAGGCAGTCCAATCTGATACATCCACTTTGGGGTTATCTTTAGTGAATGTGTTAGGTTGGATTGTCTTAGGGCGCCTCAATTTCTGCTGGCCTAGGCCTGCAGTCACTTTACCCTCAGAAGTCCCAAGGTGCCCTGCCACAAGCTGCACAGACTGCAAGTTTAGAAGTGTAACCGGTCTGCTCTTAGGGCTTCTGGCTTGGGATGGTGCAGCAGTAGAGGACCTTGGATTGGAATGGGTTGTAGCAGGAGGAGTAGGAGTATGAGTAGTAGTTGTGGGAGGAGGAGGAGGGAGGAAACATTGATCGATGACTGCCACAAAACGATTAAAGGAATCTGCAAGGGAGGAAAGTTTAGTTTCGATGATGGACAATTTGTCCGCCATCGAAGTCAAACTTTCATCCCAAGAGGTGTACTCTTACCACCTCACTTCCTTGGATTGTCTTGACCTTCCTTCCTTTTGCTTCTCCATCTGCTCCAACTGCGACCGGACTGCCTCTGCAACCTTACCTACTTCTGCACTCTTGAGCTCAGTGACCTGCAGCTTGCAATTTCCTGCGTTGACTGAACTCCCTTCCCCCATTTCGGAAGGTTCTTTTCAAACATAAACGCAGAAGTGGTCAAAGGCTGAAGACCATTTACCTGTGTACTCAGATATGGAATGCGGTGCTGATTCCCAACCCGAACAAGTTAGCAGACTTGACAGGCTCACGGGAATGACACTGACCGCCAAGACTGACCAACAGGGTCGTTCTTCCGATGGCAACCTTTACTGATCTGTGAACTCCTGCTGATGGGGTCACTTACCAGTTCCCAACTTTGCGTAGGACCATTTTCAAGCGCAGACTGCCTTTTTTTTTTTTTTTTTTTTTTTTTTTAAACAGGTCCTTATGGCCCTGGCTCCATTTCCATTTTGGGGAGCATCAGTCCGGTTCCTATTCCACCGGCAAGTCAGGAAAAATAATTACATCATAGGACACCCTCACGCTTCCTTCCGTCTGGCCGAAGGACCCCTGATCAGCATTGATTACTCCAACATCGTGGAGGATTGACTGTCAGCTTGCCCTGATTCCATCTTTCCTCTCAGGACTACTAAAGGAGGCTGTCAGATAAAACATGAATAGCATGAAAGGTCTGAGAAGCTGCAACTGCTGCCGACTCAGTCTAAACCCTAAACCCCGCTGCTGAGCCTCCTGAAATTCCTAGCATTCTAACCCCTGCTTGTCTTGTTTCTGTCAAAAACCCCTCAACGCTGAACCCTAGACCCTAAGCAAGGTTGATCTTTTGCATTTGTTCCATGTGAGACATCAGGCTGCCGCCTGTCGCGCGTAAATCTTGGATGCTCTTCTGGGTCCAAATTGGAGTACCTTCTTCCGCCTGTTGTCGACCCCTGAGATCTTCTGCGATGTGTTCCATGTGAAACATCGGCTGCCTGTCTTGCTTGTATCCTTACTCTTTTCCCTGTCGTAAAAGCAATGATTGGCTGGGAAGGTCCTAGAAGCTGCCAAAGCTGCTAATTTTGACTAAACTGGAATTCTTCCGTATGGGGCCATAAAACACTCAATTATTCTGGTCCCTACTCCCCTCGTTTCTGTGAAAAACCCTAACCCCTAACTCCTCAGCTATAGCTTTTTCGAAACCTAAACCCTAGACCCTCCCCCAGAAACATTTGCGCTCTGACCTTTCATCCGGTTTGTTTCATCGTCCCTAATCTCCTGTCAAGGGCCGTGTCCCTTTACTGCCTGCGGTGTCTGATTTCTCTGCCCTGTGACCG